TAGAGCTGTCAAAACGGGCCAACCCGGCCCATGTGGGCCGGCCCACCTTGACCCACTTTAAAAACGAGCCAACCCAACCCGGCCCACTTGTAATTTTTTCAAAAAAAATTTGGCCCGGCCCGGCCCACCACGGGTTGGTGGGTTATACGGGCCAGCCCACCAGCCCACCAAAAATTAAAAAAAAATTATTAACAAAATTCAAAATTTTAAATTAATTATAAATTAACATAATAGTCATAAAATTAACATCATTAATAGTTATAAGTCATAATTCATCATACAAAATTAAATACAAATCATGATAAAAGTTTAAAATAAAAATTTTCAATATATCATCATACAAAATAAACTACAAATCATATTCAAATTTTTATTGAAAAAAAAAATGGTGGGTTGGTGGGCCACCCGGCCCACCACGGGTTTAGCCCGGGTGGGCCGGGTCAAAGTGGGCCGGGTTGAAATATACCCACCTACTATAAAACTTCAATTTTTTTGGCCCGGCCCGGCCCGTTTTCAAGGTGGGCCGGGTTGGCCCACGGGTCCCGGCCCACTTTGACAGCTCTAGTTCTGTTCCTGATGCACGTAAAGTGTAAACAACATTTGTGTCCCATTACAACAATTCATCTGTGCCTTGTCAATCAAGAGATGCACTCTCCACAAAATTTTGGATTCAAATTTTCTTATAATAAATAAAGACGAGATATGAGATACAAAGAGCGAAACATCCATGTATGTCCCTTTGTGGGGGAATAAGCTCTTAGTCTTCGCAACTTGCACGGACGCCAATTGGGTTTGGTTTGGCAACAAAATCAAAGACTATCCTTGGGCATGGAGTAGGTCCAAAAGCCTAGCTTATCAAACTACTACTCTATGCCTCAGGTCGGCCCAAAATTGTTCTAATCTTAATAAAATAAAACATTCTATTTAATCTAATCTAATAATATATAAAATGATTAAATTAGGGTAGAAATAATTTATTAACTATTGTAATGATTGAGTGGTGGTTGGTGATTTAAATATTTTATCTCGGATCCAATCATAAGTTCAAATTCTCTTGTCAAAGCTGTACCATAAAAATAGGCATGGTAAAGGTGTGGGAGGGTAAGAAATTACGAACTGGTAAGGTAAGATTAGGGTAAGTGGAGTAGGATGGTTTGGGTGTACATATAAAAACCCAAAAATAGAGAGGTACGTAAAAGTAAGAACCTTCAATCATTCCATGCACTCTACCGACATTACTTTCCATCACGCCTATGTCGGTGCTGCACTTCTGTGCAAGCCTAAGGGTAAGGGAACCCAGTCTGGCACCAAACGTGACTGTACCCTGCACGTTTCAGTTATTACTATCTACCTATAATCATTTTATTAACCATGAACATTCCCAAATTTACCATCATAAATAAAACTTGCCTATGTCAAATGAAGCTATATTCTTTTTTATTTTTCAAATACCATCACAAATATAGTTTAAACGTGATTATCTTTTGGGCCATAGGCCCTTCTTTGAATGAGAAAAAATAAAAAGTAATCATATTTTCTAAATAGAATTAATCACCTATATACTGATAATGTAAAAAAATTTTACACTGACAATCAATCATATCTTTTAATAATGTCATGTCATTTACTTATTTAATCAAATAAAAATAAAATAAAATAATTTAAAAGATATAATTGATTGACAGTATAAAAAACTTTACACCGACAATATATACATGATTAACTCTTCTAAATATCCCTACAAAACTCAATTTTAAAACTAATTCTTCCAACGTCCATTCTTCATTTCAACCTTAAATTCTTCACAATAACACCCAAACGCAATGGTGCGCAACTAACCTGTAACCAATGTATTTTCATCAGAGGACATTATAAGAAATCGTCAATCAAAAGTTTAACTATTTTCCAACAAAAAAATAAGCGGGAAAATACAGCTGCTCCAATGTTTTTACTAGTAATAGATAGATATTACAAACAGACGAAATGGCATTTTTCTAAAATATGCCCAAGAAAATTACAAGAAGCATTTGCTTCAAATCAGAAATAACTAAGTGACCATAGGAAATGAAACAATGAAGAAGGAAACAAAAAAAAAATGTAAAAAAAAAAATTAAAAAAAAAATAGTACAAGTGGAAATCCACTATTGAATTGGTGTGACTACCGCTTCTGCTCCATCTTTGCTTTAAGGAAGAAAAAAAATAGAGGAAAGAATCATCATAAATCTCAAATGTACACAATCATACTAAACTTTCAATTTATTGTCCACTAGGAAGCACATCAGAAATCCAATCAGAAGCTGCCGTTTGAATATCAGTTTCAATATGAGGAGAAAGAGACAGCGGAGTCACTGCAACCTGTTCCCCCAGATCACACGCAAGAATCAGTCAGAACAAGGGGAAATTGGTAACCCCCGAAGACACCAGCATAGTAGCATGCACCAATTAGGAAAATAAAAAAAAAACTAATTAAAAAAAACAAATGTTAATTCAAAAGGCAATAAATATTGGTCCAACTTACATATCCACTTTCAAGTGCTCTGTAATCCAGATCTTCGTCTATTTCTTCCTCTTCCTGCTGTTTGTCCAAAAACTGAAGATACAAGTAGAGTATAGCTAAGTTCACTTCTACAAACAATTCAAAAATATTTAATAGGTATACAAATACAACATAAATATAAACAAATGCAAGAATGGAAATTAGCAACCCGAATCATATCAACAGACTGCACAGAGGTGTCACAAGTAATATATATGTAGAACAGTAGATGAACCAATGGTTAAAAAAAAAAAAACCTATTAAGGTTGCAGTAAACATTTGAAAACATTTTTATGATAATCTCCTGCACATAGTACTCTTCATAATCATAATCATCACAGAGAAACGGAATAACTAAAATATTAACATGATTCGTCCATGGTGATAGCAAAATCTAATTAAGGTTTTGTTTTTCCCCTCCTATTTACCTCTAGCCTGAAATACTTCTTCACCCTGTTAGGATCAGATTTTCCTGCAGCTCCAGTTGATTCAATAATCTCCAAATTCTTTTTCTGTGTAGCCAATCGACGAGCTGCACCCTGAAGTTGATAAATAAATATGAGCAAGATTTGAGTGCCATCATGATTAGATTAGAAGCATTAAAATCCCTTCAGATTACAGAGAACATAAAGACATGAAATGCAAGTATGTAGGACACCTACAGCTGCAGAAGCATCTCGGCCAAGCTGCGCAAACTGAAGACCAAGGCCACCTTGTTGATTGGCCAAGAAATGACCAGTTGGATAGCGGCTGGACGAAACAGCCAGCCAGTTTAGAGTGGATCTCTTCATACTTTGCTTGGTCAATTTGAAGCCCTATCAAAAAAATGATTACATTGCATCCGTGTAAACAACAGAACCAAAAAGTAAGATATCACCATGAAATATTTTGAATCATTAGAATCTAATCGACCAAGAATATTAATGTGCACACTAGTTTTTGTAAAATACATGGCCAAGACCTAGAGCATTTGCTTGGTAAAATTGAAAACATGATCCAATATATAATAAAATTTGCACACCTTGTTACTCAAAGGAGACGTGGGAATTTCAATATCTAGAAAGCAGCTTTTGGGAAAAGTTCCCTTTTCAACATCCCTAATAGCTGCATTTATTAACGGTAAACAGATTGATGCTGCATCCTTGAAATCATCTTCTTTACTCTCATCCTTCTTCCTACAACAGAACACGATGTCAACTCATAATGCCAGCACGAAAGCACAGTTAAAACCAAATATACAAAATCATCCATTTACCAATTCAATGATATTGATAATGCCGGCACACCCCATAACAACGCCTCCCTAGCTCCGGCAACAACCCCCGAGTAGAATCTGTGAACTTACAAAGCACAAGATAAACACGGTACTACACTATACATAAGACTGCAAATTCTGAATAACACAAGACTGCAAGTTCCTAGATCATGCAATAAATTAGATCTATAAAACATACATGTTATGACCACAGTTCGATCCCCGGTTAATCCCGCTAATAACCTGAAATTCAAACCAAGTTATCATCCACAAATCTTCATTCCTTGGTTTTCAGAACAATCAATGAAACACATAATTTCAAGTGGCACGATGTAAAGACTAACCAGCATAGGCTTTGACCACGAAAACAACGCTCCAGATAACGCCAGCGAAACACAGTCCACAGTAGTCCCTGAATTATCAACAATAATTAGCAGTTAAAAAATTTAATTCAGGTAACCGCATCCATTAATATTATTAGAAAAGCCGAAACCTGAAATCTCGAAGGCGGTGGCGCCGCTCAATTTGGCGGAAGCGGCTTCTACGGTTTCGCGGAGGGTAACGGAGTGCGCGGAAGCGGATTTGTCCCTAAGACGAAGCAAGAAATCAGGAAAGCGGAAGGAGAAAAGGAGCGCATTGTGAAAAAGGAGTAGAGAGAAAGGGAAAACTGACGATTGCGGAACGATGACGTGGACATTGTAGAGGGCTTGATTAACGAGAGCTTCGACGAGGTGCGTGAGGCCGGGGGAATCGACGCCGTCGGTGTTCGTGACCAACACAATTGGCTTCGACTCGTCGAATTCAGGTTCCAGAGGCTCCTCGCTGGCTTGCTCCGCCTCGGAATTCGATTCCGATTTTCTGCTGAGGAGCGCTTCTTGGAGATTGGAAACGAGTCCCGGTGGCATCATCATCTTGCAACGACGTCGTAAGAAGAAGAAGATGAAGAAGAAGAAGAAGAAAGGAGGGGACAATAAAGCGCTGAAAAAAGAAAATGAAGAAAAATTTGGATAGATGAGAGAGAGTTAGACCGCTTCTAACGCCGCTTACGTCGATCACTAATGAAATCTTTAGTCTATAACATTTCAATTTCAATTATATTATATATGTCATGTCAAGTGAACATCTAACTATTTTTTATTTTTTTTTTATGCTTCTGTAAGGATGAAAATTAATAATGAAATTTTCTCTTCTTTTCCGTTTAATTTTTAATGAATTCCTGTAGATTTTAAATAAACAAAAAAGCTTGCCTTTTCATTTTAAAAGAAGCTTTGTTTTGAAAGAGTCTCAATCTAGATTGGACTAATCAAATTAATTTGACAAAGTCTACAACCATAAAGATCATAACCGAGGTAACAAACAACCTTTCAATGCATTACACTTTTTTCTTTCAAGTGAACTTTAATGCCACTTTAAAGTTCTGAACGATGGGTAAATCAGCCATAAAATGATACATTTGAATTCTACATAAAAAAAATATAAAATAAAAAACACTTTTCTATGTAAATTTTATATCTGTTTCATTTATTTATTTTTTTATATAGTTAAATTTACGCAAGCTTTAAAGAAAAAAATTTCTTATTTAGAACCATTCCTGATCAAATTTGATTTAAATACTTAAAAAATAATCAGAATTTAGCGTCTTATCCTTGAAAATGAGATTATAATTGTTATAAAAAGGATGAAAGGTGGCAGACGATAGCGTCATGAAAGAACAAGTGAATAGGGTGTAAGGCATTTCAAGAGAGATTCATGTCGTGTAGCCAACGATGAGCATAATGATAGGAAGATGCAACCAAAAATTTTAATAGTGCTTATCCAATCTGAATCTGGTAGCCTTTTTTGGAGGGTTTTAAAATTTTGTTTACCAATTTATGGCATAAAAAGTATGAACATGATTAGATGCAAGTGCTCAGAGAATAATAAATATTCTTCATGGAATGGTTTGGGTTTGCCTGCTAGTTTCGACGTGTAGATCATGTCAAGCAGGTTTGGATTATATGTAAATGAATTCTTGTTTTTTTTTATAATACTTTGATATAATTCTTTTTTTTTTCTCTCCGTTATATCACAACACTCATTTTACTATACAATTTTCTCTCTTTTTCTCCTAATTGTAGAAAGTTATAAAATGAAAAAGAATAAAAAAAAACCTGTATAAATTATGGAGACAAGCCGTCATGGGCATCTTTCAATTTTGTATGAAAATACTTTTCCAACACTACTTTAAATATTTTAACGCATGATTTATCCTTAGATATTTTCCAACACTAATTTTAATGCATTCTTTTATTACCAGATCACATTTCACACTTAACAATAACAAAAAATGACTTTTAAAAGAAGTAGTAGACATGGCCAGACAATAAGAAATACGATTAAAAATCTTAAGAAAATACATTGATAACAAATCCCCATTTATAATTGCATCACTCTACTTATGCTTGCTATACCAAATCATCACATTATCATAAAGATCTCTAGGTGTAAAAGATAACAAAATAGTACGACTACTTTTATAATGGTCATCAGAAAATTTCATGTGAACTTTATGATGTTTAAATAATGACTTTTTTCTCTGAGAACAGTTAGCGAAATCAGGTATCTCAGTACCTATCTTCAACTTATTAGATATTATTTTGAAATACGTGATATGAGTTGGTAAGACCTGTGTCACGTAGACGTAGTAGTTCAAATGGGGAATATACCAAAATGCTGAAGTTAACAGAAAATGCTAAGCAATTGGCCTCTTACAATTATTTGCGCCGATAATCAAAGTCCCAATATTAACGCAAAAGCTTAGTGACACAAAATTAAGCTCGTGCTATTGGAGGCAAAGCTAAAAAATCTTACATTGAAGCATGAATTACTTTGTTAAATAATACTTACATAAAGTACGACATGTTATGGAGGTAATTTAATTATTGTCACATGGTGTTGTCTGCAGTGCCCCATGTAGAGTTACCCCTTACCCTTTCGTTTCCTAGCTCTACTTCGCAAAGCAGACACAAGGGCCATGTTCTCAGTCTCCTGAATTGAAAAGACACGTTAAGTTTTCCAAAAGAGAAATCAGAAAAAACAATGATACGAGTCATAACTCACCCTTGTTACCATCATATGTTTCAGGGCACCAACTAGCTCAAACAAATACTCATAAGCAGCCTTGTGTGGCTCCTGCAAAAAGAACCCTTCAGTTTCGACTAACCATATTAACAAATATGTTGTAAATCATAAATAATGGCACTACCTGTATGTTGGGAGGCAGAGGCAATCCTTCCACCAATGGTGCCCTTGGAACCGGCAAAACTTGAGTACCACCAGAACCGTCAGGAAGCTCAACACTCCAACATGGGGCATTGTATATGCCTAATGCCCCAAAGTCAAACTCAGGTCTCATCCCATCCGGATAAATTCTTTGAGGAACAGATACGGCAGAGGTGGAGGCCTGTGCATGTATATCAACAGAAGTAAGCTGATTCAGTGTTTCCATCTTTAGCAAGCAATACAACATGATGATGAGAAAAAAGTTCTAGGCATTTCAAGTCATATGATGTGAAATATATGCAGCACAACACTGTATACTTTTATTAGAATTTCTATTGCTCTTTCATGCAATTATACTCGTTCATCCTATAGTTATCACATGAAAAGGAAAGCTAAGGAGCACTTATTGGAAAAGCTATTTGTTAACATACACTTTGAGAAGAGTCTAGTCTACTCGAGTCCATGTTATTAGCATCAAAACCAACATAAGGATCCACCTGGAAAACAAACAATACAAGTCAGACACAATTAATAAAAGACAATAAATATCACTTCAATGATTTAAATGTATATCTTCTAAGCAAAGAAAGTTTTCAAGGTACCATTCTCACGCATTAAAATATTTTACTATAAAAATTCTCTTTATACCCACAATTTTCCAAATTGATTACTTGATTTTATTTTTCAAATCTTCTACAACTTCAATATAAATCTTGTTTTCTTCCCACCGGAAGTTACTACCAGCTTGCATTTGATTCCCTACAGTAGAAAAGAATACAAGCCATTTAGAATTTGTATGTCAACTTGATAAGAAAACATTACCATTGGTCTTTCTGCTGCTTTGAATGAGTGAAAGGAAGGACTTCCAAAGTCAGGGGACTTCAATACTGCATATGCCCACTTATTGTTATATATCGTTTTACCAAACTGCAACATAAAAGACCTTTAAGAAGATATAATATCTCAGATGCTGCAGATCTCAAAGTCACACTTCTTTGTAACAACTACATTTCATTACTCAAACATAGTGTGTTAAAACTGTTTTCTTTGAATGATAATAAATCACTGTCTATGTAACAATACCCGTTTGTGCAGTTACTAGTGAAATAAAAAATGTATACCACATGTTGACTATGCACGAATTTTTCATGACTTCAAGATTATGTTATTTGTAAATAAGCATCCCAATAGCGCTATAGCACTGCTAGCAGCTGTTTAACCAGATGGTGGCAGGATCAAACTCATTTAACAACCCCCCCCCCCCCCCACACACCCACCCCCACCCCCATCCACATCCGCATC